GCTGAACTAAAGGATCTGTTGTATTTTCTTAGCTGTAATAGAAAAGAATTTGAATAGAGTAGCTGTCAGCTATTTCATGAATTTAAAAACTTTAAGTCTAATGACCTGAAATACAAACAGAACTTTTTTCCTGGGCGTGGAAGAAGTGCTCAGATCTTTCACTAAAGTTAAACTATTAATTCAACTATATAAAACACTAGTAAAAGACTAATTGCAAAATTAAAATATGCTATCATTAAATGTTTCTTAACTGTGAAAACAAAGCCAGAATTTCAATGGTGAAGAGCCAATAGACGACTGAATTTGTAATAATTGCTTTTCTCACCTTTACTTCACACATTAGTTCTCATGTCAGATTTAAACGAACTTAAAAGGTTGCTTAAGTTATAACACTATTTTGATGGCATTCCCAAAAATTGCCTCTTCCGGGATTTTTTTTTAACACTGTCCCAATTTTTGTGCCTTCTAGCAGGAAAACCTCCGAGGCGCACACTCGAAATACATCCAACAAATCGGATATTATTGAAACTCTGAGAAAAGAAAGGAGGTCGCTCACGTAAGAGTTCAACACAGAGTTTAACCTCTAAAACATTTATTTGATCTATTTACAGACAGTACAGTTCGCCGAACAGAACAGAGGAGAATTGATTCTTATTGTGACACAACTGAAGAAACAGTATTGCAATTCAACAATGACGACAGCAATATGGTGGCTTCACAAAGTAGACTATATACAAATTAATACTTTTAACTGATAGAAGGTCATTTTGAAGAGGAGGAGAGATGAAGTGATATACTCTCGATGATACAGAAGCCATATTAAAACCTTCGGCGGTTTTTACGGTTTTGACTCATTTGTACAATTCTACTTTCTACCACAGCCTCTGCACAGAAGCGACAGCTTAACGATCTGTTGACTGAACATGAAATGACGAAGAAGAAGAGTGAATTGTTCTACCACAGAAGCTTCTGGAGCGTTTGGTCAGAATGCAAGACTGGATGCGCGAGCGCTCGCGTCCTGTTTTTATATTCGGTGAGAAATGCCTGAGGTGAGAGAATAGGTGTGGAAACCCAGAAGTTGCTGTGCTTTAAAGAGAGTCTGAGTAAATCTTACTTCTGCATACTCTACCCATAATGAGATCAGGCCTGCTGCATGCTCAAAAGCTTGTAATAAGTTCAAATATCACATGGCTCACTTGTAAATCTGAAATGTGCAGCAGCTGGATCTGAATGTGGAACATCCTACTGACTCTTAATAGTTATGAACGGTTTTCTGGAAAGATGGCAGTCACAGTGGCTGCTTGAAAAGTTAAAGAGAAGAAGTGAGAGTAAAATTATTTTTAAAAAAATGTGGAGAGTCTTGTTTATAATTGGCTAAAGTGCATTGTTAGAATCTGTACATTGAGGGGCTAGAGGATGAAGTCTGGCACCGGCTACAACCATTTCATCCTCAACCTGCCCTCAAGTTTTCGTCTCCAGAAAGAAATCCACAGCAAGTCTGCTCAAAAGTTCACACAGATGCACACCATGCAGACAAAGTTCTAGGGACAAGTTCTGTTCAAGCTTAATGCATCCGTTCTTCCTCACTTTGTGTGCCTGACATATTTTATCTTAGATCTGTTGTTGACTCACAGTGGATTGCTGGACACAAAGTAGGGAAGTAGCACACACAGCACTTAATCAAGTCAACGTATTTACTTTGACTAAATGAACTAATTGTTGATCTATGCTATATTTTGTTTATATTAGTTGTGTGCATTTTTACACAGATCTGAGCGAAAATGCTGTGATGTGTAATCAACTGTAGAAAGTGATCTTTATAACTGAAAGTCACTGGATTATTTGGTTAAATGGGAGGAGCTCTAGATGCATTTTGGACTGTTCAACAACAGACAAACAGCGGTCAAGTTCATACTGAC